TCGTGGCCAAGCCAGGAGCAGCCGCTCCGTGCGGGAGCTGTGACACGGGCTGCGTCCCCAGCGCAGGGGACCTGCCTTCAGCCCCTGCCTTCTGCACCCGCCTCCCGGAGGGCTGCCGCTCTGAGGCTGCGAGGGAGGGATCAGCTGCTTCATTTGCTCCGGGCACCCGTGTAGGAGCGTGTTTCCCCCTTGCACCCTCCCAGGTGGAATCAGCGAGTCCTTATGGTTGGAAAGGACCTTGGAGACGTGTGGGTCCCGCCGCAGGTGGCTGCAGTGCCATGTGCACACGTGGGTACCGCGTGGGGCACCGGGCGCCCTGGGCTGYGGCGCCGGTCCCTTCAGGAAGTGCTGCCGCATCAGAATTGCTTAAGCTCTTGCTTACACTGAGCCCGTAAAACAAGGGCTGTGACCCGCCATTTAAACCACCCCAAGGTAGCCCAGCTGCATATTTCGAGGGATTATCCCTTATCCGCCAGCTCCTCTTCCTCTCCCATGGAGTCGCCTGGGCGATGCCAGCCCCGTGGCCAGGCCTGGCACCGGTTCCTGACATGGCCGGGCATTGGGGAAGGCAGATGCCTGTCCGGGGCTGTCCGATCCGGCCGCGCCTACGCTGTGTGGATGGCRAGGGCCACGCATGGAGCACACCAGGAGCAGCCCGGCCCCTCGGCCGTGCCCGGACTCCCGCGGGGCCCAGGGCCGGGGGCCGCGGCAGCGGGAAGGGCTGCTCTGTAATTGAAGTTTCTGTGCTCCGGCATCCCGGGCTCCCAGCGGCCGCCGGCCAACAGAGCTCCCCTTGTTTACCCAACTCGGAGGAATCGGTTTACAAGGCTCACAAATACCCTTTTCACCTTTCCCATCAGAAAACACCTCCCGAAACAATGAGGAAATTGGACGCTGCCACCTGATAGCTCCCAAGGAACCTGCAGAGCGAGGAATTCGCTAAGCAAACAGGCTTCTGTGCGCGGCTGCCCCGYGCCGGGGCCGCTGGCGGGGAGGCCCGGCCCGCGCGGAGCCTCGGCCCCAAGGCCGCCCTGCGGCCTCCGCRCGAGCAACCTGCTACGCAGAGCGCTCCGGGGCCGCCCTTTCCTTTCTCTCGCCGTGTATTTAGCTGTAGCGCTTGCCCTGYGTCTTTCCGCTGGTGGCGATTGCAGCTCCCGGTGGCGTGAGCTGCCCCGAGCGCTCGGGCTGTGCGAGCGAGTCCCGAGAGGGCAGCGCAGAGGTCTCTGCTGCCTGCCGTGGCTGCATGGTGCGGTTTGTAAAGAGCTTGAGGTGTTCCTGACTGCGAGGAGGCCGAACCGAGCCGGTTCCCGGGCTCCTGKCGCTTCTCAGTGCCTGCCTGTTTGTGCATGGACTGTCTCAGCTGGAGCCTTTAAACTCGGGAAGGCCTCAGGGCAGAACCGTGTCCGTCTGTGCTGCACCCTGTGCTTTGAGAGCGCGTGGCTAGGGGGTAGCTGGGATGGGTGCTCGTCGTGCAGAAGATGCGGAATTGTCGTGCGGAAGACGCGACAGAACCTGCTCCCAGGGGCAGCGGGGCCCGCGCTCGGCCTTCCTGCAGGGTTTGACTCCCGGCCGCAGGCAGCCCCGTTCCCGGGGCCCCCCGGCTGCCCTGTCCCCATTGCGCTTGTCCAAGCGAGCGCGCGTGCCAGCCCCCCGGCGCACTTCAGTGTGTGGTGCCAGGCACGGTTTCATGCCTGACGTTGGATTGATTTTGATCCCCCCGACCCTGGTGCTGCAGTGGGGAAGTCACGTTCCTCGTTAAACACAAAGAGTACAGCAAATCCCCCCCAAAGTTACTGCATGTGCTGCTGGGACACAATGAATTTCATGATTAATCTAAAAGTAGACCCGTGCCTTCTTTCCAGTTACCAATAATTTAAAGATGTGCCCTTGCAAAGACAAGTCACCTTGTGTCGGTGTAATTTTTCCAACTCAGAAYGAGCCCTAGGTTTGGAGGAGAGGGATAGTAACCTAAGGGGGAAATGGAGGAGAAGAAATCGGGGAGATGGAAGGACAAAGGGTGGATGTGTCTGTGYGCAGCAGTGCCGCCGGCGGGGAGCCGCGCGTGGAGGGGCCCCTTGTCCCGGTGCCGTGGGCTGCGATGCGGAGCAGAGCCCAGCGTCGTCCTGCGGATTGTGCAGAGCAGCAGCTCCAGAGCCCGGCAGTGGCTCCAGAGCCTCCCCGACTGCCGGGCTGCGCGCCGTGGGAAGCGCCGTGTGCCTTTGATGATAGCTCTTCCTTGCTTGATGTTCACGTGCAAAATTTGAGAAAGGTTTCTGGACTAATTCCCAAGCAAAAAGAAAAAAAAAAAAAGCGTGCTAATGAAGTTAAGGCTGAATGTTCATAGAAGAAAGTAAGTTTATAATTTTATCCTCAAAATAAATAAAATGYACAGAGGCTTGGATTCTGAATCACGTAAGATTAAGCAGTGCCAACAGGATATGGTGTTTGGATGTTCCCAGCTGTGATCCCGTGCGTGCTTTGTGATCCTCCCCATGTTTTTCCAGGCCTCCTATACTCAGGAATCACCTGGGCCTTGTGCAGGAGCACAAGGAGCTCAGGCAGGAGCGCTGCTGGGTGTCCCGTKAGCGCCCGGGTTGCGATGGCTGTGCCCGAGGTGGAGGTGCACGGGAGGTGCACGGGAGCCCTCCTTGTTCGCCTGGGCTGCCAGACATCTGCTCTGCTTGTTTGCGGCTTCCTGCTTGGCCGCTCTTGGGCCGGAGGGAGCCAGCAGAGGCTGAAGGAGGGAATTTGAGTCACCAGGGAGCCCTGTGCCAGAAAACGCCTGACTCAGCCCGGCTGCGGAGGAGCGAGCGTGGGCCTGGGCGCGCGGGGCRGGAGGCGGCGGCGGGCCCGAGTGTTGGCGGCGTGGGGCGGGATGCGAGCGGGGCAGGAGGAGCAGGGGCTGCTCCGCCGCCGGGATTGCATCAGGCCGGGGTGGGGGCGGCTCTGCGGCGCGCGCTGCTTTGGCACCGCGTTTTGGCCCGCGGCCGGGTGACCTAGTTGGTAGGGCCGGGG